CAAATTTTATTCGTCTGTCATATCGATTTCAYAGGGAAATTCCTTTATTTTCGAAATACCTACAACCGTTAAGTATATTATATAATATGTTGTCAGTACAATATACATATAGTAAATAAAGTAATATATATACTATGTAGTCACGAACTCGGGACTCAAATCTTATACTCACATRATACAATATAATAATATACATATAACACATATTACACAGTTATATACGCACAATATAATATTGTTATGTTATAAGAATTATTATAAAGAACACGACGGAGAAAAATAAAGCTTCACAATATTGACTAAGATCACGAGTTTATTGTACAGTTCTTTTCGAAACATACATCTGTTTTATAACCCATGTGTATTTATAGTTTTTTTTACACAAAAATATCGTCTATAATAACACTACATAAAAAAAGAGAAGAAAAAAATTCATTTACAACATTAATAACACATTTATATATATATAGGTACAATAACAATAATTATAATATATTTTATGTATAAATTTCTTTTTTAAAAATAAATATTTTTTCTGTGGTTATACAAAATTACGCAATAATAATAATAATAATTTAATGTTTTWAAAAAAAAAAATAATAATAATAATAAATGTGACACTTATACATATAAATATATTTATTCTATAAAGTATTATATCATCAGTGAGCTTTGTTTTTATTCATTAAACTTAAATATATAATAAAATTTTGTATTGGAAAAAAGGGCGGTAGGGAGATTAAGGATGGTTATATATATATATATTTATAGTGAATGCAGGAGATACATGACCCCATTACTGTGGATTTATACGTTGAATTTTTTTTCTCTATGCGTGTAAGCGATAAATTAGAACACATTTTTCCGTGTAAAGTTAGCAATGGAAACAAACCCACGGGTTTAAAAACAAATGTGTTAGAAAACGTATAATCAATTCTCGATGGCGCGGGGGGAGAGAAGATCGACTATCGGGAAAAATGTCGGGGTTGGAATTCAGATTATACAATTACTACGCAATAATCAGTCTAAATGTATATAATATATAAATACGATTTATGGAAAATAATAATAATAAAAATAATAATATGCAATATGTTTATGTCTGGAATGTAGAGAACTAGAGACGCTGACAGAAAAAAAAAATAGGTAAGTACGTTAATTTTTTTCCGATTACATAATAATATTATATGGGTACCTTGCAGTATTGTTGTACATGCGTATTGTATAATAATAATATATTGCATTATATTTCAATTTCTCCAACCGTATGAGCACCACAAATGTAATTAAACAAAAAGTATTACGACAATGTTATATTACAATATTATATAGTTGTATATTTTCTTTGGACCAGATTTTCTGAAAAATGTTTTTTAAATTATAGCTAATAAACCAGAAAGGTGTTTTTACAGGCTTTTCACGTTGACGGTCCTGTATCATAAGGTATGGTTTACCGTAGTTTCAAAAAGTGAAACAGCACGGCGGCATCTAGACGCGACAGGCTAAACGTACTAAAAGACAGTTTTATTCATTGCTCAACGCATCAATAAAACCAAAAAATAAAAATTGGTTTAAAAAAATTAAAAATTTACATTGATAATCGTATAAATATATATATAGACAAATAATAGTGTAAGGATGGCAAACGAATGATTTATCGTCAAAAATTGATTTTAAACATTGTAACACTTAAAAATTAATAATACATATTATAAATATATATATTATACTCGTAATGACAACATCGTGTACGTGTTTATTACATAATATTATATATTATGCGCGTGTGGTATGGCAATATAATCATCGTCAAGTCCAAAATATCGTCTTGGGAAGTGCTGTATAGTATATATAATATTATGTAGATATACCTAAATATACAGACGTGACGAGGACGCGAAAAGGATTAGATGGTGGTGTTGTTGTTATTGTCGTTGATGATGATTAAGATGATGATGATGATGATATGTGTGTTACGTTATATAATACATAGGATGACGACGATGTACGTCATAATGTCTATGCGGTAAAGACGAGAGGGTAACAAAAAAAAAAAAAAAAATGGCAAAATAAAACATTTCTTCTTTCCCATCTCGTCGTATGCAAAGTGTCCGTATGACTTTAAGTATAATATTATAATGATAGTAAGTAATATAAATATTATGACGGAAAACCGCCGACGGTCAATCAAGACGTGGCCGTCAACGACGAGTCGGGTTGCGACAGATCGATAGAGTCGCATTCGGGTGGCGGTGGTCGGGAGCTACACGCGCTCGTGGCCAGACTGCTTTCGATGCTGTCGAAGAAAAATTCGTCGTCATCGTGGTCGGCCCCGTCGTCCAAGTCGCGAAGTCTTGCGGCCGTGGAGTCGTCCGGTGGCTCTTGTACTTCGTCGACGGCCGGCAGGACCGGTTTCTTACAGGCTTCCATCAAACAACGGCTCTGCCGCACGAGGTTACGGCGCCGGAACAGTTTCTTGGCGGCGGGCTGTGTGCAAACAGGGAGAAAAATTCGTAAATATCGAGCACCGCAATCGTTCATTTTGGATATTACGTTTGTCATTATTATTGTTATACATGCAAGTGAAGCGTTATTGTTAGATTTTTGATAGGCATACAAGAAAAACATCAAAACCCAAAGACCAATAGTAATATAAGCGTCACATGTAAAGGACTATGATTTATAATATGCAATAACAACAAATGTAAAACATACAAAAATATTTTTTTTTATTTCATTGAAACATCAACTATATTAAATATAATAGAATTATTATTGACTCGTGTATATTATAATACAAGCTATACTTGTGGCCACTAAAGTTTTAAGGATGTATCACTCGTTTATTAAGCCTGATGTTGACCGATTTGACTACGTATTAATATTAATAAGCTAATAGCCCAATAGGTGATGTATAATATATACATCAATAAATATTACATAATAGTACATGCAATATGAAAAAAATTAATTTAGTAATAGGAAAATAGAATCACTAGGTCGGCAATGAAGTCAAGGCGAGCATAAAAGCGATCGGCTTCGGATTGGATACACCTACTAAAGTACACGATTGCACGGCGGAAGTCTTTTCACGCGATAGTTAACGCTTAGGAAATGTTGTACAAGTTACTTATTTAATAAATTTTTTAAACCTCGTTTTATACTGCTGCAGCACTTTTAGAGCACGATTTAGAGAATTTTCATTTTTCTGTAATAATGTTTATTTTAGGGTTACGTACGTAAAAATTTTATACCCACTATCAATAATTAAGTCATACTATATTATTAAGATTACTAGGCAATTTAGACATTTAGTTATGCAACTATATATGTGCAAGTTTAAAAGTTTATAGCCGGCTGTAAAACATTATATTATGCGAATGGTATCGAACAGGTAGGATAACTCTGTACATTTTAACACCTATATAGGTAGTACCTATATATAGAAGTGAGTCGGCCAATTTCGGGTGTACGTAAACCATCTCTATTTGTCATTATTTTACAATTTATTATACCATGTTACAGTATACTAGAAATATAACATCACTATGCGAGCTATTGCAGGTATACTATATATACATTACGTGTAATCGATTGCGACGAACGTTAATGCGCGAGAGCAATGCGATTTTCTTTTTTTGACGGTTTCATGTATTACGTTTCGAGGAGAGATTTTATTTATTTTGTCGTTTAATCATTTTTACTCGTATCGCATGCATATTTGCGTGTGCGCACGCGAGCGAATGCTTTTGATTGGAAAAAAAATACCAAAATCGTACCCTACATTATTATAAGATATCACATTACATCACTATATACAATAATAATATTATGTTATATGTAAATATAACATGGTCGAAAAAATCCGAAGTACATTTTTACAGGCTGGCTAATCTCGTCACATCTTCGGGGGAAATCTTATACAGAAACATCATTCTATGCGTCCGATCTGTGTGTCGTAATGCACCGTACAGAAAATATTTAATCCTTCCCGCGTTATATTTGTTGCACATAATGCAACGTTAGGGTCGATTTATCGCGAAAAAACTAAACGAAGCCCTGCATACGATGGAAGTAACGCACGACGGCTTAAAATGTGGAGATTGGATATAATATTATCATAATAAGTAGGTATATTTTTAAACTGCACTCAAATGCGAAATTCGATATATATTTATGTATAATGGACATATCTCATATAGCGCGGAGTGTTCGTCTCTTCACCCGTCCTCTTCATCCATCTATATATTATACTGATAAACGCTGCGTAAATAAAGGTGAGTAATATTTATTACGCACATATCTTTATATGCCTAGATTTACGCGTTTCGTGTACCTTTGTGTGAAACACTACACAAATAAGAAAATCGATAATACAACTACTTTTTAAACATTTACGCTGCAAGTACACACTAAACGCAAATGGGCCGTCTCGGGGGTAATATATAGGGGTGCGAAGAAAAGAATTTAAATTTTTTCAGTTTAGTCAAGGGCGATATACATTTAGGTAGGTATGGTACTCGACATTTATTTAACAGACGGGCACATAAAAACGTTTTTCAAAAATATTACGATCGGAGTAAAACGTTAAACACACCAGCTGAATGTATTCAGCTGATATTATTGTATTTATAATAATATGTGGTGCGCATCGTTGTGCGATGTAAACGACGAGATTAGAGACGTACTRCAGGCGTATGCGGAAATCCGTTAAAGTTTCAGAGGAAGTAAATTCATATTTTTCTGAGGTTAGTACCTATGTGGAAGCGCACGCAAGCATAACAACACAAGCACACTGCTCAGCCATCACTGCAGCATATTATATCGCGTTCATCCATTAAACACACGACGAGCCGCACGCGCAGTTTCCAACAACGATAGATCATTTTGATAATTGTTTTGCGCTGTATACTGTAGAACATATTACACGTTTTATTTCCATGCAAGGCGAGTGTATTTACTTATATCTATATGTAATATGTGTGCGCGTGTTAGACAATTTTAAAACGCATTTGAACTGCCCTACGAGTACGATAAAAATTAATAATATTTTTACTATTGAAACGTTAGCGCAACAGATTTATAAAGAGTTAGAAACCATGAGATTTTTATCAAAAATCGAGGAATATGGTTACTTCTAACCTGAACTTTATTGTACTCGTTATTTTAGTTCGTCGTTATTTTAATCCAAACTCGAGAGTTTATATCAGCATGTGACATCAAAAAAGTAAAATATATTATCATAAATATATTAATTAAAATATTTTATTACTTCAAAATTATTTTTAAAACAAAGATAATAATAATATGTAATATTAATTATGCTGAAAACTCATTTAAAAAAAGTATTCATCTATTTGATGATGCTTGAAAAAATGGGTTGCCAYTTTATAACGAGCTAAAGATCACATTTCTATATCTTGTTTTTAAAGTGTCCGTATTTTAATTTTAAGGTCATCGTTTATAGGTATTTTATGGAATATAAATAATTATGGTCTAAAATTGTCAACTGACCATATATGAAACTATGGGTCAGGCCACTAAGGGCATGGCCTTACCTAATACAAACTGGATAATATACTGACATAATACAATTTAAAATTTAAATATAAAAACATATTTTATAATAAGAATTTTTTTCATATTTTTCATTTGACCTGTCCTAAAACAATTTTCTAGTTTCGCCTATGCAACTGACACAAAAACACACGTGCGATTTTTATTCTAAAAGCAAACTAAAATATTATTTAATTACCAGTACAAATATAGTTGGTTAAATATGGTCAAAATCGGCGGGTACCTGTACATTACCTACGCGYTTACGAGCAGCATTATAATATTATTGTACACAATATGTTATATACGTACACTAGTACGGACCTACACAGGAAGACACGGTCGGCTAAACGCACGCAGTTGTTATTATAAATTGGTGTCGCAATCCGAAAGCGACAGCGACGGCATAACACAATATATATACCATAATATAGTTAATACATGAGAGTTTTCTATATATAAATTATAATATTTACAATAAATTTACAGTCCGTATAACATGTTGACACGTGTAAYCGCGTACTTATATAATATTATTGTCAATATGTCGYATTATCATTTAAAAGTCGTCAATCGTCATCGTCTATTTAGCGGGCAAGAGTGGTTTTCGGGTTCAACCCATTCATCTTCCGAATGTTTTTCGTTTCGATAGTCGAGTTATAATGGGACTTAAACTTTCCACTCTCCTTAACCAAAAGAAAATTCATGATTTTATTACATAAAACTAATTTATTAGGTATATCATTAACGYGTCCAGAATACGGTCTTGTCACTATGCGCGATGACCTCTGCAGCGGCGTTTGGCAATCGGATAATATGATTAACGATTTCTCTCCTGCGAATATTTAACGACATTTTACGACGTATAGGCATAACACCCCCTCCCCATTACTACTATTCACGCCATACTGTAGAAAATAATTTTAAAACAATTCAAAACATGCGCTTATACAACCACTGCAGCAGCAATGTCATTCAATTATTCAATTATATTCCGGATTTTTTTAACGAATTCGATTTATTCCGCGGTAATTAAAAATACAAAACCCTATACCTACTGAAGTCACCTATATGTCACTTAATAGCAACTGGATGATGGGGAGTGGGGGTTATAAATATAAATATATATATATGAACAGAGTTGGAACGTTCGTTACACCCTATATACATATATTATACCTATACTTAATACATACTATGTATATGATTGACCAATACAAAATATACACAATCAACACTTTTCTACCAGTGCACATTTTATTACCATATTATTATAAAAATGACACACAGCCGGCAGTTCGACACTGACCATCAACACGAGCGAACTCAACAATACAATTTATTATTAACAGCCATCTGTCAAATGGTAAAGGATATTTTAAATATATAATTATTATGGATATATAAACCAAACTTGTTTTATTATTGATAAACACCTCATAATAGTGCTCTATCCCACARCTACGGAAAACTTATCCATAAGGAATAGAAAACCTTCTCTGGATAACTAATATCGTAACAAGGTCCCCCCAAACCACATTACAGTGTTTCGAACTCACACATAACAAATATATTTAAATATAAACATAACGTATATCTATATATACCGCTACTCGTTATACAGTGCAAAGCTCCAAAATATATTATAATCCTTATTCACCAYCATAGTTTATCGTCACGCGAATAAAGCATCATAAGATCCTGCAGCAATATACAGCGCGTTACGTAATAAAATATATCGACAAACAATATGAGACACGTGTCCACGATGCGCGCACGATGTGAAATTAAGTAGTACATAAAYACGTATGTCTACAATAATAATATAATATCGGGTCTAATAGTCCTATATAGGTAGGATATATATGTCCACTGGCGTTGGAAAAACTGTGACGGACCGAGTGTGAAACGCCTTGAAAAAACCGAACGCT